AGACCATTCTATTGGAAAAATGGACTTAGACAGGGAGATAGACTGTCGTGTCTTTTATTTAACCTTGCCCTAGAAAAAGTAATTCGAGAGTGGCATATTAATACGAATGGCACCATCTTTTATAAATCTGTACAAGTGGTCGGATATGCAGATGATATAGACATTATTGTTAGGCCCACAGAATCTCTAATCAAAGCATTTCGATCATTAAGGGCATCTGCACTGAGAATGGTATTAAAAATAAACGCACAGAAAACCAAGTATATGTATTGTACTAGATCAGGCAATCAGATACCTAGACTATTAATTGATGATCTAGAACTGGAAGGTGTAGACACCTTTATCTACTTGGGTTCGCTGCTGACCAAAGATAACAATGTCAGCGAAAAACTTAAAAGAAGAATAATGCTTGCCAACAAGTGCTATTATGGCTTGAGGAAACAGATGGCCATAAAAATGCCCAGAAAAATTAAAGTTACCATATATAAAACACTAATAAGGCCAGTGTTAACATACAGGTCAGAAACGTGGTCACTTACACAGAACGACCAAACGTTTCAAGAGAAAAATTCTAAGGAAATATATGGAGGAGTCCAAAAACAGGGTTTGTGGCGTAGGCGCTAAAACTTTGAGTTATACAGAAGTTTTGGGAAACCTGACGTTGTAAAATGTATTAAATTAGCACACCTTCAATTGATAGGACCTGTAATTAGTGGGAAGAGGACCAGTGGGAAGACGAGTCAAAGGAAGACCAAAACTTAGATATCAAGATAACATGGACGATGATCTAAAATCCATCGAGATTAAAGCATGAAAAAGAGTTGCCAGAGACATGGGCGAATGGAAGATTGTTCTTAAGAAGGCTTTGGCTCATACCGAGCTGTAATGCCACTGACAATGATGATGACATTGTTGGACGATTTTGTGAGGCGCTTTTCTATTCTGTTAGTTCATTGGCGGATTAATATCTCTATATCTTCTTCTTGCTCTATTAATATTGTGTCGTCTGCGTAACAGAGTATTTTTATTTCTTTGTTTTCCATTCGGTATCATTTTCCTTTGTTAACGATTTTGATAATTTGACATAAGGCTCAATGAGTCCCCTTGTCTTATTCCGCTGCCTATTTCTATAGGTTCTGGTAGCTCCCATATCATAACGTACATATTCATTGACCCCATCGTGGTCCAGAATCGACATATCGATTCCCGCTCAGATGACGTCAAAACGCTGTTTCATCGATACGTAGTAATGCCCCCACCGCCCCCACAAGCCGAAGTTCAGAAAATTAAATCTACTAAAGGACTTACAGGAGTATTATTGGTAATAACTTTGTTTTTCGTATGTAATAACAGCATGGGATGAGAAGTTGTGTTATAGACGTAGCACCTTTTATCGGAACGACCACATCGAGCGCCATAGATGGGAGATGGTTCTTGATAACTGGTCCTCATAAGACAATAAACTCTCACTTATAACTCCACGTGCCACACTCCAAGAAATTGCCGGTATAAGCAATCCTCCGTTTACTGGCCAACAGCTTCAGGTTGAAGAGCTACCAAATGGTAGGGCACCCCTTTGTCCTGGAGGTAAGAAACTGGCTTTAAAGGCGGAAGAACCGTGGAAGCGGTTAACGGCATAGAGATAAGGAAGAAAGATTGGGGCAAGACACCTCATTAAAGATCCGGATTGGATAAGTCCTAGTATAATCAAATGGCTATTCTTGCAGTGAAATTCAATTAGGATTTAATTTATCAGAAAGGTAAAATCCATAATGCAATACAAGAAATAACACACATGAAATTAAATATTCTGGGTATAAGCGAAATGCGTTGGCCAGGTTCAGGAACCGCAAATATCTGAGAACATCGCGTTTACTATTCTGGAACAGATAACGGCAAACATGAATTGGGTGTCGGCATTGTATTGAAAAAAGAAGTGGCAAAATCTGTTGACAACTTCATCCCAATATCAGCAAGAGTGATGTTTATACAACTAAAAGCAAGACCAATCGACATCAATATAATTAAAGTGTATGAACCTACAACACAAGGAACAAAAGAAAATATAGAAGAACTATATCATAGCATTAATCAAGTGGTGAAAAGGTTGAAAAAGCAAGACCTGACAATTGTTATGGGTGACTTCAACGCCAAAGTTGGGACCAGCAAATCATAATCTGCAGTTGGACTATTTGGTCTAGAAAACCGGAAGGTTTGGGAAGATACGTTGAAGATTTTTGTGGCAGCACATCAATTAGTAATAATGAATACCTGGTTCAAGCTACATCCAAGGAAACTCTACACCTGGAAATCTCTACAGGATTCTGTGGGAAGGACTTTAAGAAATCAGATTGATTACATGCTAGTAAATAAGAGGTATAGTAACAGCTGTACATCTGTCAAAACAGATGTAAGAATCTATGAAAAGATTACTTGGAGAAACTTTTTCATGACCTTAGAATAATACACAAGCCCACCATTGAAGAAAATTCAGGTCCCAAAATCCTACGGGAAGAAATAACGGTAGCCGTCAGATAAATGAAGGATGGAAAGGCACCGGAACTTGATGAAAGTTCTGCAGAACTGTTAAAGCTATTAGATGAAGAACAAATGAAAATAATAACTAAAACATTTAATAAAATATACAAGGCAGGAGAAATACCAGTAGAGTGACTAAAATCGGAGTTCGTACCATGGCCCAAACAACCAGGAGCAAAAGTTTGTGAAGATTATAGAACCATAAGCTTTATGAGCCATCTGCTGAACCTGTTTTTAAAAGTCATCCACAAAAGAATTTACCGAAAATACGAGGAATAAATTGCGCCCAATCGGTTTGGATTTGTGAACGCCGTTGGTACGAAGAAAGCTTTATTTAGCTTGGGTATTGTTTCCGAAATGTAGAGATGTCAGCTGTAATATTTTTGCATGCCTGATTGACTGCAAGAAGGCTTACGATAGAGTCAGACATGAACAAATGATGAAAGTGCTGAAGAGGACAAGGATTGACGAAAAAGACTTAAAACTAATAGCTAACCTGTATTGGAATCAATCAGCGGTACTCCAAATAGATGGAAAATATACAGATGAGGTCAAAATCTTAATGGGAGTAAAATAGGGGTGCATAATTTCACCATTGATATTCAATGTGTACTCGGAGCTCATTTTTAAAGAGGCTCTAAAAGATATTGATGAAGGCATCTCAACAAATGAAGTCAAGGTCAATAACCTACGGTATGCATGATACAATATTGTTTTTTAAGACCATAGAAGGGCTGCAAAACTTAATGAACAAATAACGGAAACAAGTAGAAAATATGGACCGAATATAAACACCAGCAAAACCAAGCTAATGATCATGAGCAAGGAAATACAACTGGAGCAAATTTGTATGTGAACCAAATGAAAATTTCTTACAGTCTCACAATACAACTACTTGGGAACAATAATCAATGAGTAGGACAATACCCAAGAGATTAAATGTCGCCTCGGATAGGCAAAAACTGCATTCTTGACTATGAGTTCTGTATTCAAGAGCCATGGCCCCACCCTAGAAACAAAAATAATGCAACATCGTGAAGGGCCGTAAGGTGCAGTACTTGGGACATATAATAAGAAATCAAGGCAGATACGAGCTACTTCAATGCATTTTGCAAGGTAAAATTGCCCCAGAACGAAGTAGAATATCCTGGCTTGATAACCTTAGGGCATGATGTAGAACGACCTTAACACAGCTATTTCGTATAGCAACCAACAAAGTCATCATAGCCAGAATGATCAACCTAAGAAGAAGAATAACAGCATGTTTGCTGTTTTTAACTCTTCTGGTAACTACTGTCGAAGCTGAAAGAAGTTTTTGAAAATTAAAATTAATTAAAAACTACTTCAGGACTTTAATTGAATAGGAACGATTATCACACTTATCTTAATGTCAATAGAAATTGAAAAAATCTAAAGAAAATAAAATATTTCGCTATGGAAGCTTAAATAAGTTTGCCGAACAAAAGGCAAAAAAGATCATTTTTAAATTGTTTGGGTAACGCCTTATTGGCTTGCAGGAGCATTTGTATTTGTATTTATATACTTTATGTATTCTTTTGTTAAACATTTAAAACATTTCATTATCACAAATCACAATTCAATTGTCTGTTTTAAATAACAAAAATGTAAATGTAAATGTAAATTAAGAATAAGAATTTGATACAAAAATATTTGTATTGTAATAAATAACAAATCAATATAGAAGTATTTATTTTTGTAACGACTGTGTAAGAAAAGTAATGAATAAGGATGATAACAGGTGAAATATACACAATGTTATTCGGTTTTAAAGAAGATACAAGTAATAAATAGTATTTGGTAAAGAAATCTTGATAAATAAAAAAAATCAATTTTTTCCTTAACTAGTATCTTTCTGAAGGAGTATTAGTACAGTAGTCCAGTCGTCAGAGATTTGACCCTAAAAATTGCAGGACTTTCGTAAAACATCACTTTCGCAACTTGTGACGTAAATAACCATTTTATAATCAAATTTTTTTTGTAAAAGTTATAACTTTTTAAACATTTATAAATTTAACTTCATAAACATTTAGAATAACTTTTAAACTATTAGTTGTACAACAAAATTACAAAAAATGTTATTCTAGGACGATTTAGTAAAAAGTAGGGATTCTTTTAATTGAAGGGTAATTTCTTTAAAATAATTAAGAAACATACTTAGCCTTATTTTAAAACTAAAGACTTGTTGCAAGACAGTAAGAAATACATAAATTTTAAAAACGATCAAACTTAATCAACATTATCAACATTGAAATTTTGTCAAACCTGAGATTGGAACAATAGATAGATACTAATTAGGTCTAGGAAATAATATGCGCTTAACTTGTAGGTTTCAAAATTAATTATCAAGATTCCTTTACAACATATTTTAAATAATTTGATTTATATTGTTTGCAGCCTTATTGCATTCGATATGTAAGTAAGCTTGTCAATTCACAAACCTTCTAAATACAAGCTTCGCTTTGTCTTAAGTTAATCACTTCTTGCTCGGAGAAGTTGTTAAATCGCTGTATGATCGCCTCTGCTCTCAAATAGTTGTTTCCGTGCATTTCGCTAGAGGCGTTGCTACACGTTATCGGCGGGTCTCTTCTCATCGAGTATTTCCTACAAACTAAGTGCGACGAAACTTGGCAGCAGTTTTCTAAGGTTTTCTTGAACGCCACTCGGAATTCTCGGTTGAAATAGGCGTAGATGAGCGGATTCAGGGCGGAATTGAAGTAACCTACCCAAAAAACGAGAGTGACTAACCATTGAGGGCTATAGCAGAGCGTGTAGCCGCATAGAGCTGATATTAAATACCTGCAAATAAAATAATGCAATTAACATACATCTACAGGTATATCGGGCTATGTCGATAGCTTTTGCCTTTATATATATATATATATATATATATATATATATATATATATATATTTTGTATTTTGCTGTTTAATAAAGAATAAAACTGCATATAAGCATCTAATGATGTGAATATAATATAAAAATAGATCATAAACACGTTCTCTTACAAAATTTTAACATATTTTTTTCTTTGACCTTAAACAACAATTTTTTTTAATATTTAGTGTGACCTCCTTTAGCTTCGATGACAGCTTTGATCCCCGTTGGCATGCTTTGAATGTTTCTCAGGCAGTCTTCTTTTATTTTATCGTTTCTGTGCCTTGTGACAGTTTCCTGGGCAATCCCCTTCTTCATAAGCTCCCATAGATTTTCGATCGGATTAAGGTCTGGAGAATTACCTGGCCACTTCAGTACTTTAATTTTCTTTTTTTCCAGGTACAACGTTACTGTTTTTGCCTTATAACACGGTGCTAAAACAATCATAAAGGTAAAATTCTCCGATTCGCCAAACCAGTCTTTGATTTGTGACATGAGCTTTCTTTCTAGAACTTCAATATAATGATGTTGATTCATCAATCGATTCACAATGTACAGCCTCCCTATGCCCTTACTTCTGAGCACATACCATACCATGATCTTGAGAGGATGGTTACTCGCTTCACTATGTAATCCTTGTAATGTTTTTTACCTACTCGCCTTCATACCATCTTTCTATCAGTTAGCCCTAGACTCCAACACAGTTCAGAGGTAATGTTAGTCAACAAAATGTCACCAGTTCCTAGGGGACATGTTAAATGCCCCCAGTTGTAGTTTTTATTAATACTGAAGTTAATGGTCTATTGCATTTACTTTTGTAAATTCGACGAGGATTTTTTATTACTAATGTCCTTCTAGTATTTTTCTGTGACCAAACACTGTTTTTGACAACTTTTTACGTAAGTAGTAAATAACCAACGTGTCATTTTTAAATTTTTCAATTTCAGCTTACGTGTTTTTTTTTTAATATTGATTTTTTGCTCTCTCTTTTAGTAAACTGATGATGAAACAATTTAAATTCCGAAAAAATCTTCTTTAAAATAAAGTTTTAAGCTTTTAATAAGCACCTTTTTTATACCTTGATACACACGAACACCACAAGCTTTGTATTCAACAGGTATACTAGCCACTCCTGGATATCTCCACTTCATAGTTTTGTTCCAGTTTGATTTTTAATTTATTTTTGCTAATATAAATAAATTTCTTGGTTGACTAACAATGTAAACATGGAATGTAGTTGACCATTTGTTAATGCATTAAAAATCCCAGCGAATAGGGAATTAAAGCTAAATTGATATTATGATATTTGCTAGTGGTATGTTTGCTGTTGCATAGTCTGGGTTAAAATTGCGCAGCAGAATAATCGTTGAACCAATTTTTAATCAAAGAATATATCCATTATCATCATCCATTACGTATTTCGACTTCTTTAGGTCTCCTCCTAATACATATAAGCGGCTTACCGCTGCCCTGTATCGAAACAAAAATCTAATACCGTCTTTATATTTTATTTCTTTAAGAAATTAAATTCACTACGAATTTTGACCATAATAAACGGCATATGAAATTCAATTTTTGGATTCCTTGCCGAGTAATTTATCAAGCTGTTTGCTTTGCAAGTTTTAGAAAGCACAGTGGTAAAAATTTACATTCGGTTTCGCCAAGTAGAAAAAATATGATTTCTCTTTTTTTTATTAGAAGGCGTGGTTATGTCCGTAAATAGTTATTTTGATAAATATTGGTATACGACGGGATAGATTTTGTTGCGATTTAGAGCCATAGCACACTACCACCTAGCAATGAAACTTCCGTGTTGACGAGTAAAACAATGATTGGCGCATCACCTAGTGACCGGGCGCCTAACTATAAATACATGGCGCGAAATTCAAAAGTTTAGTAATATTACCTAGGATTGTGAACTCATTTTAAAGTAAAGGAAAATCGATATAATCCTAAAATAACAAGAAAAATCCCTATCCTATACGATAATAAATATTTTTCGTATACTTTTTGGGTTTTCTTGTTATGTTGAGACTATATTTATTTTACATTACATTAAAATGCCAAAGTGGTTAAAAAAATTAAAGAATAAAATAGAGAATAAAATGTTTATTTATAAAAATATTACAAGAAAAGAAATATGTATTACAAGAAATATTAATAATACAAGCCAAGTTTACTATAATTTAGTTTTCTTAATGTTGTGGCAAGAACTGGTCAGTATTTAAATAATTGTTTTGTCTTAGTATGTCAAGTTTTATGTAATTAAAAGCCAAATTCTGCAAAAGGCCTTTTACTACAATTTTATTCTCATAATTCGTAAAGAATTCGAACATTGGTATATAACATTCAAGATTTTTTTAGATAACAATGAATCTAAAGATAAATCCCTAGAAGACAAAGATAAGTACATGCTTGTAATAAATTTAGTCTATAATTACATAAGCGAAGCAATCAATGGGGAAAACCAATTGTTTTTTTCACACATACTCTCACAGATTCAGTATGAAAACATGCAAATGCGTTGAAGTAAGAAAAAAATGCAGACATTATCTGGTAGGAAAGCAATTCAAACCAATCACAGATTAAATCACTATTTTGTTTATTTAGAATGCTGGCATATATAAAATCTGATAAGGAGAACTAGCTTTACTTCACAAGAATTTATTAATTATTTACACTCTAAAGGAATATTTCAAGTAGAACAACACCATATAACCATGAAGGAAATGGTTAAGTTGAAAGATACAATGAGTTATATAGAAATTGGTGAATCTAGCATTGGAAACCAAATATTTAGACATCACTAAATAAAAACTGCTTTACCAGGAGCTCTGTACTATATAAGAAGTTTACTATTGAATTGTTATATTATTGAATCACGATAATGATGAAGATGAAGTCCAAATAACACATTAGAGAATTCCACTACTAAATCAATGCCAGATGTGACAGAAAATTTACCTGTTCAAAATCCTGATGATAATTATGAACCAAGATTGGAAAATTCAGATTTTCAATCTAGCTGTAAATCAGCTGGTGCTAAAAATAAACCAAGATAGTTGCAATATTTTGTTCACAAATAGGGACGGGTAAAATGTAGTATAATTTAGTGTTCTAAATGTTTTGACAAGAACTTGTCAGTAATTAAATAATTTTTTTGGAATTCTAATGTCAAATTAAAGCCTAATAAGCAACAGACATCCGTCAGACATTGTGAGTTCTTTGTAGTACTTACATCCTAATCTAATATCACACAATACCATCGGTCAGTGAGAACTCTTACTGTCTGGCGTTCTACTCACAGAAAGACAGAACTTAAGAACTCTGCTAAGTTGGAAACAGAAAAATTAAATGATTTAGTGCTAGAAAGAACTTTATATACATTTATATGATAATATTTTAGTCATATTTAAACCTATAAACCCAACAGTTAGCTCTAAGATTCGAAGATCCAGCACTATAAAGATGGAAAAATAATATTAAAAATAAAAAAATATGTAAAGTATTACCTAGTTCCAATAAAAACATGAAGTAGTTTACAAAGTTACGTTTCCAAACTCTATGTTACCAGTAACTCTTTTCTACTAATATTTATATATTTATTGAGAGACATTAAATACATTTAGATTTAGGTTTTCTACAAAATGGAACATTAAAAGTACATAGATGAGACAAACCATGGTAATATGGTACTCTAAGACCAATCTCACTCACAAGAGAGAGACAGATCCCTCCTCGCACTTAACAGGCAAGCTCATAGACCTCTCCCTATGATACTGTAGTCATGGTCTGCTAATCTAATCCAACTTTGAAAGGCGCACACCTGTAGAAATTATGGCGAACCCTCTCTAAGGTAATGATTTTTAAGATAGTTGTTGAACCACCACCTACAAAATAATTCAAATAGTAAGCAAGTAAGACTGATTTTATAATATATAATTTTAGGTTAAATTTATAATTAACTAATTTTATAAGTAAAAGGTCACATATATACATATATTGGCATAATAGTTTTTACCTGGTGCTGGTAAAAACAAACTCAAAAGGGCTGTTCTCGTAATACCGGTATGTCCAACATTAATTATATCCTCCTCTTTAAAATGACTAGCGCATACACGAAAATTGTTATAAATAGTTTCTGTTGCAGCATTCTCTAATTAGAGCTTTTAACAGCATTCACCCATTTATCAAACATATCCATATAATCTTCTGGACTTCAAAAACGGTATTGCTTGCCAGTAGTAGTGTGCTTGCCTGGAATCCATGCAGTCTGGAATACATCTTTTTTGTTCAGTTCTTCGTCACTACATTGTTATTCCATGTAATGTGTTCGATTCCATAATAAAAAATCGTCTAAAATTTTACCTTTTTGCACTACTTATATACAAAAATTAAAACTATAAAAAATAAAACAAATACAAATATGGCGCCGTATTTGTCTATCTAAATTCAACTTTTGTTTGATTTGACCACACCACAGCACACTCCCCCGCGTAGAAACGAGACTAGCAGCGCCACTAAACGAATGGGCGTATGGGCGCTAAAATCCGAACGTGATTTGACATTGCCTATCCCTGTTACCAATCTAGGTGTAATTTTATCTATGTTCAGAGCAGTGGCTATACCGCTCTGAGGAGACCTAAAGAGGTCAGAATACGAATAAGCGGCTTGCCGCTGCTCTGTATCGAAAGAAAAATCTAATATATTCATTAGGTTTTATTTCTTTACTCCGTTTGGAGTACCAGAAATTAAATTTACTACGAATTTTGACCATGATGAACGGCATGTAAAATGCAAATTTTAGATTGCCTTGCCGAGTAATTTATCAAGCTGTTTGCTTTGCAAGTTTTAAAAAGCACAATGGTAACAATTTGAATTCGGTTCCGCCAGGTAGAAATCCTATGATTTCTCTTTTTGTT